CCCCGAAACGCCAAAATCCGAGCACCCGAAAGTCCGGAACTCGTTGGGCAATGAACACCAAGCCTTCAAAGCCCTAAGATGCAACTCTGGTGATGATCAACCTCCAAGTGGCCCAGGTCAGCCCGTGGAATTCAATGGAAGCCAACTTCTGTGAGCGCAGAAAGCACCTGAGATGGTGTTGGGGGGTGCGAGAAGTGAGGCCATCTGGGGGTAAAGAAAGGCCGAAGCCCAGGATATTTAGGGTTTAGGGTTGTAGGGTTCAGGGTTTTAGGGTTTAGGGTTTGAGGGTTTGGGGTTCTAGGGTCAAGGGTTCAGGGTTTAGGGTGGAGGGCTTTAGGGTTTTAGGGTTTCGGATGTAGAGTGCCATGGCCTGGGTTCTGGCATCAAAGGGCTCGAAGGGTGGGATGAAGGTAGGAGGGATGGATCCCAAAGCATCCTCAATCCTACCTACCGTAGGCCTCTGGCTATGGCTCTAGACCCTAAAGCCTAAACCCCTAAACCCTGAATTCTGAACCCTAAATCCTACAGCCTAAACCCCTAAAGCCCTGAATTCTGAACCCTAAATACAGCTCCCTAACTGACGGCGTTGAACCCCGCGGTGCTCTTTGCCATGGAACTTGGCCCCACTGAGGTCGGTCGTAATCCTCCACCTCCAACAAGGGGCTTTAGGGCCCTAAACCCTAAACCCTAAACCCTTTAGGGTACATATTTAGGGATCAGGGATGGGGGCTTGGGGTTCTTGCTATTGCTAAGGTACAGGTGGACAGAATACGTCTCAGGCTCATTAACGTAATGTAGGGGCCTGAATAACTAGAATAGGGTCTTGTAGAGTATGGTTGTAAAGGGATCATAAATGGATTTTGCTGCTAGTATTGCAAAAACCATAATAGTGCGCTGATGTTCTGTGACGCAGGTTTTCCAACTGGCACTCTGCAGAATGATGGGTGGGGGGCAACAAAATTCACCGCTTAATGCAGGGGCCAAAAACAAGAACAAGAGGGCTTTGTGTATGAGCATATAGAAGAGGGGCTGGAAGGGGGTACTGTTACTAAGTACTCCGACCCCCAAAGTAATGTCAAACAGGCATGCGATGCTGCAACACGGACCTGGCGCAGTGTTGCTATGATCTTAACCTGCCCGACCTGAATGCATCCTTGCAGCTTCGACTGGGCCGGCTTGCTTGCAGCTGTAAACTAGTTCCACCTACCAGCTGTGCAACGTACAAGGCCCCGATACCTCGAAGCGCGCCAGAACGGGCATCCCCAAAGCTCACGTCCGAAAGACTAAACTTCACCAGACAGTACCCCGGTAATCTTTACTCATAGTGTTCCCATGTAGAAACCCCATTACGACCTCATGTAGAAACACACAAGCATGCATCCATGTTCTGAAAACCGAAAAGATGTGTATGTATATCTATATATATATATATTTTTTATGATACAGAGGCAGAAGGAAAATTTTAAACAAAAATCTTTACACGCAAACGCACTCAGAGGTTCCAGAAGCCCTAAACCCTAAACCCGATACCCTGGACAGTAAATCCTAAACCCCAAACCCTAAGTCCTAAATCCTAAAACCTAAACCCTAAACGCTAAACCCTAAAACTCTAAGTCCTAAATCCTAAACCCTAAATCCTAAACCCTAAGCCCTAAAACCCAAAGTCCTAGATCCTAAACCGTAAATCCTACACCCTAAACTCTAAACCCTAAACCCTAAGTCCTAAATTCTAAACCCTAAATCCTGAACCCTAAACCCTAAACCCTAAAACCCAAAGTCCTAAATCCTAAACCCTAAAACCTAAACCCTAAACGCTAAATCCTAAAACCCTAAGTCCTATATCCTAAACCCTAAATCCTAAACCCTAAACCCTAAACCCTAAATAATCCTAAACCCTCCACCCTCAACCCTAAATCCTAAACCCTAAACCCCAAAACCCAAACCCTAAACCCTGGGTCCTGGGCCCTCAACCCTAAATCCTAAACCCTCAACCCTAAGTATCCAGAAAGGCCCGGCCGTGAATTGGCGAAAATTGCGACAGTGTCGCTCCAGGTTCCCGAAGCCTCGAGCTTCCGGAAAACCTGGGCTGAAGGGTTTAGGGCTTTGTCTTAAGGGTTTTAGGTTTTCAGGGTTTAGGGTTTAGGGTTTAGGGCTTTAGGGTTCAGCGATGAGGTCTATAGCAAGCTGCTCGCATTCTGTAGGTTCTATGTTTTTCAATTCCCGGTTGTGGGGTTGTGTAGGCCTGGAGCTGTTATATTTGTAGGTGCGCGCCAGATCTGGGCTAGTTGACGGCAAGGCCATGACAGGCTTTACTTGCCGGTTCATGGGTATGTATAAGTAGGGCTCTAAGTAAGGTAACTAACTTATAACCCACATAAGGGGACTTATAAGCCCACCCATGAAACTGCAAGTACACACGGTTGATGATATAAATCCTGCATTACCTTAAGGACCCTAAACTATGGGAATTATGGCATATGATTACCCATAATAAGGAATATATCATAGTTCCCATAGTTCAGGAGTTCACGACATGTCGGCTTTGGGACCCGCACTGCTTTTGGTAATGTAGGGGCCTTAATAATTAGAATAGGGTTTTGGGGTGTATTATAGGATAATTATAATAAGGAGCCCCGCAAAATAAAATAGGTAATTATTAAGGCTCCTACATTAAGTTGCCTTGTCGGACCTTTGATCCCTTGGCTTGGGCGGAAGACGCCAGAGTGTGTTGGGAAGTCATAAGAAAGGTTTCTAATTCAGGGGCCTTAACAAGTTGAATAAGGTCTTGAGGTATACTATACTACAATCATAATAAGGAGCCCCGCACAATAGTATAGGTAAATATTTAGGCCCCTACAATAGGGTCAGTGGGTTGCATGTATGCCTCAGGTCTAGAGTTCTAGGTTGTAGTATTGAGGGTAATTGGAGTTTAGCATTGGGGCTAAGAAAATTTAGGGTTCTCTGAAGTTTAGGGCTTTTGGGGTTTAGGGTTTTGCTAATTCAAGGTTTAGGGTAAAGTTTAGGGCTAAGGGCTTGAAGGTTCAAACTTCAATCTCCCAAACCCCACGCAGACCCGGCAAAAACCTGAAGGTTGCCGGCCGGGCACCGGCGAAAGCTTGCTGTCGGTCACAATCTCCACAAACACCCCGCTTTGCTTGCCAGCGCCCGTCAAGGAGACAAGCCTGCTGCAGCTAGGGTTTAGGTGTTCACGGCTGTAAGGGGCTCTCGCTCTTCGACTTCGGGGTTCAATTTCCATGATGATCCTGATGATGATGATGGTGATGATGATGATCGTGATGATGATGATGGTGATGATGATGATGATGATGATGACGATGACGATGATGATGATGATGATGGCGATGATGATGATGGACGATTGATGAATGATGGTGATGGTGATGGTGATGGTGATGGTGATGGTGATGGTGATGATGATGATGATGATGATGACGATGTTGAGGATGAGTATGAGGGAGATAGGCTCGAGTGGGGTGTGGAGGTGGTGCGTCTCGGCACTGTGGAGGAACCGTTATGTTGAAGAATTTTCTTTATCCGACACTCTCCCCCAACCAACCGAGCCTGAGGCCTGCTAACCTGAGACGTCTCCGGCTCCATGTCAGTCTCTACTCAGTTAAGATTGACCATTAGCAAAAGACTATTCAAGAAAAACTCCGGCCGAATCCGGCGGGCATTATAGAGGACAACCCCACAATTTGAGAAATCATTAAAAACTAAGCCCTGGTGTTGTCATGAGTTTTGCCCGTAAATCAGGCCTAGGCTACAATCTTTCGTCTCGCTCTTACTACTACCACTGTGTCTAGCCTTCATCTTCGCTCTTCAAGGTATGGAGCTCGTTCACACTTCACGGTCAATCAAACAGACAACAGTTCAATGCTTAGGGTGCGGGACAAGCTCGGAAAAATGGAGGAACCCAGCGGCCAAAAAAAAGGTTTGTTACAGACTTGTGCAGGGATCCCTAGAATGCGGACCCCATACTATTTGGGGGGGTCTAACTGTTTAGGGAAAGCTGGCTCTGATGTGCAGTGCTCTCTGTTCACTGTGGTTCGGCAGCTTCTACAAGGGAGTGGATTTAGGTCAGGGTCCGCTTCAAGCTCCACAGGATGACGTCTGCCCTACAAGCCATAAGCCCCCCGACACCCCCAGGCTGCAAGAAGCCAAGCCTAGTCCCCAAAACCCCAACCGAACCCTACAAAAAACATACCACACAAAATTCAAATCAACTCATCCCAACTGAGTCACTGAGCCCTCAACCCGCAAGCCTAAACCCCTAACCAGCCCAGACGCTTCTGTTCCCGAGCCAGCTTTGCAGGCTTCCATGGCCCGTTGAATCCGGCCATGGGCTGAGCTACTTTAAAGGCCTCAGTTAAGAGCTAGAGTCGGGTTTTGGAGTGTACTACAGTATGTACATTGCTAAATTAGAACCTAGAGATTAATATTAGTAATTAGGTAATCCTAGATGATTGGGTGACAGTGCTACTGCTATTAACGGCAAGACTAGTGCCATGACTGGGGTTTAGGTGTAGCCTGTAGAGTTGACCATAGTTAGTGGGTCATGATGGTGAGGGTTTGGGTTTCGGGAATAAGGGTTTAGGCTGCAGGGTGTTTTGGTGCTTTTTGTGGATCATGGGTTAACGATGGTAAGAGACACTTCGAAGAGGTTCAGGGTGCAGATGTAGACAGGTGCCGTTTGGGTTCGAGTAGTCCTGGGCGAGGTTCATGGACAGAAGACGGTGCACCCAGCTACAGGATCTCGGGTTTAGGGTTGAGAGTTGAGGATAGAGCAAACAGCTGCGCAGCCGCACTCATGGGCAAATTGCAAGGTTTCAAGGTCTGCCAACCCGCCCGACCTTCGATGCATTTCCTGTATGCCGTATCTTATCATGAAGCCAAACTGAGATCAGCAACCATGTGCCCAACCTTTCTGCAGCAGGTCGATGCCTTATGCAAGTCTTCTCATCCTCTCCCCGGGTCTTGTCTCATGAGACGGATACCCAGGGATCACACGGCACGTTAAGAGCGGTCTCCCAGGGAACAGATGCTACAAAGTGGCATCCTGCCTGTTCCATCTGCCGCCGAAACGTGCACAATGCCTCTAGGAATTCAATGCCACGGCCAGGAGCAGTTAAAACGATGTCATTTCCCAGCGGCTCTCCCCGCACTCCGACAGATGAGTAGCGAAGCTGGCCAGAGCTTTGGAAGAAGTCAATCCCAACGGGGCTGTAGAGAGCAAGCCAAAGCTCGTCGAATGCGTTTGTCTCTCTAACTCCCTCCCTGGCACATTTTATGTTGCTGAAACTACAGCGCCATCTTCCGCCCTTCGTCTTCACCGGTTTCCCATGCTTCAGCTCCACTCGGACAGAGTCCCTTATCCAGTCGACAGGACTTGTGTGTCCTTGCCTGATGACTGTGCTCGCTGGATTCAGCTTCTGATCAATTTCAAAGCCTATGCTCTGTATCTGCTTGGCACGAAAGGAAGGAGTGGCGTGACTGAGTGGGGCCCGTTGGTACATATCCTCCTCTTCTGCCTGGCATAAGCCACCCTGCAAGCGTCGATCCGACAGAAGCACCCGTTCAATCGTCTGACATTGTCCTCTTTCCACACACAGCTTCTGTAGAATGGTTTCACATGCAGGTCGCCAGTCAACGGTACCAAACTTTCCCCTGACTACAATTCTGTGCCCACGGGCAGCTGTCGCGTTGCCACTCCTGACAACTCCAGTGTGAAGGTCGTGTTTCAGAACGTGAACAGAATCTGGCGCGTCGAAAACAAGGTACAGGTCATCAAAAGAGGCATTGGTTCGGACGCCGGCCTCTGCAAACTTCACTGCGCCGAAATTCACACCCCAAGTGCGGTCTTTCGCTAACCATGACAATCTGGCGGTCTTGCATTGCACTTTCCTCCCCCCCAACGTCCAATCCCAGGAGGCTTGTTGTCCTGACCTTCTTTTGCCATTCACGGAGGTGCCAGGGACGGGCTCCTCTAGCTGCAAATGGGGAGAAGCGCTAGTGAGCACGCTCTTGCACAGGCCTTTGAGAAACATGCCTCGCTTGCACGGGCTCATTCCAGAGAGCGGATGTCCAGCGTAGACGGCAGTCACCCTCCCAACATCCTGCAGAATGTGTTGGAATTCCTCTCCTGGAAACACCACATGTTGCACTTGGCACCCGCTCATACGCTTTCCGCTGCGCATCAGGCTGGGCAACTGCTTGAAGCCCACAGCAGAAACTCTGGGCGGCTCTGCAAAGAGTCTCAGAGTGCGACATGTGGCAAAAGGGCATGTGAGCATGGCTGTCAGTGGCTAGCAGTGCCAGCTGACTGAGTTGCACAAATGGCTGCATCGGTGCAAGCTGTGAGCACGGTAGCTGCCGGGAAGTCCGGTAAGTCATGATCTGCCAGATCGCTTCCGTCACATCTAGGGCTTACATGATTCTAGCCACTAGTAGCAGGTATAATAGGAACAGGACCCAAGGAAGAACACGGCGAAGTGATGAGGCCTGGTGGTGGTCTACTGTAGAGCACAATCAGGTTACATGTACTATTGTGGAATTGCAATATAGGGTACTACTAGGTACTCTACTATCTGCCAGCGTCTTGCTGCTACCAGCTGCAGGAATGAGAACCCATGGCACAAGGTGGAAGCGCAACACAAAAGCAGACTCCTACACATCCCAAGCCATGAAGTTCTGAATCACCAAGCCCTGCAGCCCCATCAAATTATATGATATAATCCAGATATTTAATATGATACGATATGATATGATGTGGTATGAAATGGTATGATATGATATGATATGATATGATATGATAGGATAGGATAGGATAGGATAGGATAGGATATGATATGATATGATATGATAATGCAATATGTAATTATACTATTAATATTGTATGTCGAGCCCCACAAACTCCTCAACTCCCCCGAACCCTGGCCTCAGGCCCTTCACTTGTTGACACCTCCAGCTCGTTTCGTCCAGGCTGTCAAACTTGCTCGTCAACCCATGTTGCCAAGCAGCCAGCTCCCTTTTCCCAAATCACAGCTATGCCTTCAGCTAAGCCTCTGCTAGTATATTTTACAATATGCTGTACTATATCGTATTACCATATCTGATATGGTACTGTAAAAATACATATATATATA